CTGCTTGTATAATAGTATGATCTGCCCATGTTCCTGGCCGAGACATGTTAGATATATATTGTGACCAAGATGAATCTAACACACTTTCAATAAATCGTTCTGGATTATCTCTCATGTACTGAATACCTGCAGATCTAATTTCCAAGTGGTGATGTGAATCACCATATAACTGATGTGATACTGATTTAAAGAAACAATCCCCTCCTCCGCCTACACCCAATTGATTTAAACCATGCCTAAGAAGTCTATAGTTGAGCAAGAAATCCGACCTGTCATTTGTTGTTGCTTGAGACAAAGTGCTAACATTTGTCACTGGACCAGGGTTTGATTCAACATCTCCAGATAGTAAAATATTTTTTTCTGACTCATTGTATACAGCCACTGTTGATTTCTTAATCTTGGTAAAATAACTGCTGTAAAAACAGCCTAGACTTTGAATATACCTGATGCTCCACTGCTTATAATTTGAAGCAATGTTGTGCAAAACAGACGAGACAGGAAATGACTTCGTGAACAATTTTTTGTGCTTTTTCCTTAGTTCTCTACATTTCATTAAACGCAAAATTTTTGTCAGTGAAATCCTAGATGGCTCTCTATCTCTGGATCTGCGACCCATCATTCGTAAAGGCTGTCGAAAATCTCTATATTGTTGACGTAAATCAGGTTTCCTGAAGAGGTTTACCTTGGCTGGCCCATCAGTTACACTCACCTCACTAAAAGATGAATTTCGCTTATCGTGTGAATCACAACCAATAATCTTAACTGTATTTTCATAGTCAGAATCAGAGACAGTTCTCTTGAACCCTTGTTTACAAAACAATTCGAATCGCTGAAGCAAAGACGTTTGTTTAGCTTGTGAATGATCAGATGCTGCGCCTCGAAAGGCCGTTTTTTTTTTTCCACAAGGAAGTTATTAGTTCCCAAGAGGGAATTGCTTGTGTCTCGGAAGACATGTTTACTTCCCATAAGGGAGTTATTTGTGTTCAAGTGGACATTGTTTTTTCCCAAAAGGGAATTATTTTCATCTTGAGAAATTAGACTCACAGCGAAATGTCATACATGGAGCAATAGAAGCTGCTGTTGGGCTACACGAGTCAGTCTACCATCACGATTGCCAAACAAGCACTTTGATTCAGGAATCGCTACTTTGTTTGAAAACTTGCAGAAACCGTCAAAAATCCTAGAAAAAGTTTTAGCAGCAAACAACGGAAACAATGTTCGAGAGCTCTGTCTTGTTCCTAGAGTTAAATAGTACAAAACCATCGCTAATATATGACAACTTACCTCCGAATCCATCGCCGCCCAGAAACAGATCAGAAAATGTTGCTTCGACGTTCACCTTGTGCTCATGTGATATGCGAAGAAATATCGACTGCGAAATCTCAACCTCGTCCCCAGGACCATGATCAAACGCTTGTCACAAACATACTTCGGACATGTCAATAAACCATCGACTGAGGAGTCCGCGTCCCATCGGCATTACTTAGGTTTTCCGAATTACGCAAACATACTTCAGACATGTCAATAAACCATCAACTGAGGAGTCCGCGTCCCATCGGCATTACTTCGGCTTTCCGAATTATGTACTCACTCACTTACTTACAACACGCTGACAATACGGTTCCGCTTCTATGAAGCTGAAACCATAAAAAACTAGGACAATAATAATTCCTTTGACCACTAATTTCTCCTTACAAAATCGCCCCTGGAT